CGCACCAGGCGAGGGCGGGGGTGTCGCAGGTGCTCAACAGATTGACCTTCGCGTCGACGCTGTCGCACTTGAGGCGAGTCAACTCGCCCATCGGGAGGGACAGCAAGCTCGCCAAGCCGCGTCAGTTGCACAACACGCTGTGGGGTATACTCTGCCCCGCGGAGACCCCCGAGGGCGCCGCGGTAGGGCTGGTAAAGAATCTAGCCCTGATGGCGTACATAAGCGTCGGCTCGCAGCCCTCGCCCATCCTCGAGTTCTTGGAGGAGTGGTCCATGGAGAATCTCGAGGAGATCGCGCCGAGCGCGATCGCCGATGCCACCAAGATATTCGTCAACGGATGCTGGGTCGGCATCCACCGCGAACCGGACCAGCTGATGGCCACCTTGCGCAAATTGCGGCGGCAGATGGACATCATCGTGTCGGAGGTGTCGATGGTGCGCGATATCAGGGACCGCGAGATAAGGATATACACGGATGCCGGCAGGATCAGCAGACCTCTGCTCATAGTGGAGAATCAAAACTTGTTGCTGAAGAAGAGACATATTAACATGTTGAAGGAGAGGGACTACAACAATGATGGGTAAGCGTCTCTTGGGTGCTCGCTTTCGGCTCGTTCTCACTTTTACCAACGACTTGTGTCGCGTTTGCAGGTGGCAGGAACTAGTGGGTAGCGGAGTGGTAGAGTACATAGACACCCTGGAGGAGGAAACCGTCATGATAGCCATGTCGCCCGATGATCTCAGACAGGAGAAAGAGTACGCGTATTGCACGACGTACACGCACTGCGAGATTCATCCTGCGATGATCTTGGGCGTGTGCGCCTCCATTATACCGTTCCCCGATCACAATCAGAGCCCTAGGAACACGTATCAGGTATCGCGCGTGCATTTCAGTCGCTGCGTTCTTCCTCGTGCCGTTCGCGTCTTCGAGTCGGGTCTGACGAGAGTTATTTTTCAGAGCGCTATGGGTAAACAAGCCATGGGCGTGTACATCACCAATTTCCACGTGCGCATGGACACTCTGGCTCACGTGCTCTATTATCCCCACAAGCCGCTGGTCACCACGCGGTCCATGGAGTACCTGAGATTCCGTGAGTTACCGGCCGGCATCAACAGCATCGTCGCGATCCTGTGTTACACGGGATACAATCAGGAGGACAGCGTTATTCTCAACGCGAGCGCCGTCGAGAGGGGCTTCTTCAGATCGGTGTTTTATCGCTCCTACAAGGAGTTCGAGTCGACGAAGTTCGGCCAGGAGGAGCAATTCGAGAAACCGTCGCGCCTGACCTGCCAGGGGATGCGCAACGCTATATACGACAAGTTGGACGATGACGGGATCATCGCGCCTGGAATTCGAGTGTCGGGTAACGACGTGATCATAGGAAAGACGATTACTCTGCCGGAAACGGATGACGAGGTAAAACACTTGTCTTTCAGTTATCCCTTGACAAGTAGTCTTTAAGGGGAAGGAACACTATTCAAGCCTCAAGAAATGGGTGATTTAACAAAAATATTTTTTATACGTAAATACCAAAAATAATGCTTTTTTTTAAAATAAAGCCTGAAGTTTATACAATACATAACAATTTTTGTCAAACATTTTATTGGTATTAAGACTGGAAAGCAGCACATCGTAGCTAGTGTTGTACGAAATACACGGGAAACTCAGGTTGACAGGATTTCGGCTACAATTGTTATCCAAAATAAATGAAAACGACAGTGCTTATTAAACTACGTAGCATTGAAAGTATAATTTTTTATACTTCAAACTGCACTTAAAAAACAATCCATTTTAATAGTGTATCCTGTTAATGAAGTGAGAATAACGTACTTTATTCCTTTCCGTTCACCTTGCAGCTGGACAGCACGACGAAACGTTTTACGAAGCGCGACGCGTCGATTTTCTTACGGAACAGCGAGACCGGTATAGTCGATCAAGTGATGTTGACGTTGAACAACGAGGGATACAAATTCTGCAAGATCCGAGTGCGCAGCGTATGTATACCGCAAATCGGCGACAAATTTGCGTCGCGCCACGGGCAGAAAGGTACATGTGGAATTCAGTACAGGCAGGAGGACATGCCGTTCTCCTGCGAGGGTCTCACTCCCGACATCATCATCAATCCTCACGCTATCCCTTCTCGTATGACTATCGGTCACTTGATAGAGTGCATTCAAGGAAAAGTTTCTGCCAATAAAGGTAATACGGCGACTCGCGTAGGCTTAACACAGAGGTGTCGTTAACAGCCTGATGCGTTTTCAGGAGAGATCGGTGACGCCACGCCGTTTAACGACGCCGTGAACGTGCAAAAAATCTCGACGCTTCTGCAGGAGTACGGTTACCAATTGCGAGGAAACGAGGTGATGTACAACGGACACACGGGTCGTAAGATCAACGCGCAGGTCTTTCTGGGGCCGACGTATTATCAACGTTTGAAACACATGGTGGACGACAAGATCCACAGCCGAGCGAGAGGACCTGTGCAAATTTTAGTCAGACAACCTATGAAGGGTCGAGCGAGGTGATTATGCGCTATTATTTTTATTATTTTAATATTACCTGCCGTTAATCCTAATATACGTATTATAAATGTCTGCATTTATTTAGGGATGGTGGACTTCGTTTCGGAGAAATGGAACGGGATTGTCAAATTTCTCATGGCGCGGCGCAGTTTCTGCGAGAACGTCTATTCGAGGTGTCAGATCCATACAGAATTCATGTATGTAATTTCTGCGGTTTTATCGCTATAGCGAATCTGCGGAACAACACCTTCGAATGCAAGGGATGCAAAAACAAGACGAACATCTCGCAAGTAAGACTGCCGTATGCGGCCAAGTTGCTCTTCCAGGAATTAATGGCAATGAATATCGCGCCTAGACTCATGATACACTGAGTAGTTTGTAAACAATTTATTTTATATAAAATATCCACTTATCATTGTGTATATACAGATTATATACCGTATTATCATACAATAAAACAGATTGATAAACAATTTTTCACAAGTTTCTGACGTTTAGAACTAGCAAGTATTTGTTAATACCAAAATGTAGTAATCTTTATATATATGTCAAAGGCAATATTGCTCGAGGTTATTAAAGTTTTGTGATAATAAAATTAATTTGGTTTTTATTCTACAGTTATTGTTCTCACAAAAAATTGACCTTTCCGTTCGTTCGCACATACGTGTCAACTTTATGAGAACAACGTGCGTAGTTTGCGTGTGAAAATGAGTTTACGTAAAATGATTCAAATGAAACTTTGAATGTTTTCTCTTAAAAACTGTATTAAAAAAGAAATTGATACAAATAAGAATTATTCAAAATAATGCACATCATCTGGATATTAATTAGAATCATTAGGATTTCTCACAAGACACACATCTAGAACGCAAAATCGTGCTCTGCAGAGCGGACAAGTACATTTGGAGGACAGCCACGTTTCCAGTGCATTTTCGTCTTGTCTTGAGGCAAACCTGTTTCAAGTAAAATAATACCATTAACAATAATAATGATATCCGTGAAGACGATTCAGTACAAGTACGGATAATCAAGAATGTTGTGTATGTATATGGGTAAGTAGAAACACTACGTTCTATTTTATTTTAGAACAGAACTAACGCGATACAAGCAGTTTTATGTACCGAATTACGCCGTCGAGACTCACCGTCATTACTTTTGCCCTCGATACCTGGGATAATTTCGCCCTCAACCAGGAAACACTACTCAGACAGCACTCATGTCTAAAAGACATCTTTAAGACATCTTTAACGTCATTAAGCTGTCTTTTAGACATGTACGTCTAAAAGATGACTTAAAGATGTCTCTATGACGCCTTTTAGACATGTGTGCTGTCTGGGTATATTCAAATTAAACGAAAAACCGAGAGAAGAACCTGCAGCAGAAACGGCGTGCACGTTTCTCGCGCGGCAGTAGAAACGGATTACTTTGGTCGGGCGGTATTCAATGAGATAAATATAAATATGTATAATATTATGCAGCTCGAATATAAGCACTTTTCTTAATTGCCCAATCAATTAAACGAATTAATTAAAAAAATTTTTAGAGATTAAAAAATTATTAACGCCCGCCGAAAATTTGCCTTACCTTTTTTTTTTCATGAATTCTACTCTCGGTTCTCGTTTAATCTGGATATAGTACCTCGTAGTTGAGGGCGAAATTATCCTAGGTTATCGAAGGGCGAAAATAATGATGATGAATCTCGACGGGGTGATTCGGTACATAAAACTGCGTACGCGAAGATGAAGATTTGAGGCGCAGAGAGGGACGGAGGAGTCGTATTTGTGTCGACATCGCGCATAGGATAGAGGAGATATTACGTAGGGTCGGATCGTAAACTGGTAACATCCGCTAATCAAATCCGTCACGTCTATGTGTGTGACCTGGCCTAGAATCGAAGCTCTTCTATACCGTGGAGACGGTAATTTATCTTCGCGCGATGAAAAGAGCGCGGCTATATCGCTCCAGCATCGCGCCACGTTTCGACCGTATTGTCGATTCGACTAGTGCACGTCGATGAAGAGAAAGAAGTCCGATTGAAAATATTAGATAGGGATCCCGATATTCGGAGGAGCTCACGCAAACTTTGTTTGAACCAAACCGACGGAAGCACCTCGTCCGAGCGAGAAGACAAATGAGGAAAAAATTGGCGCTGTCTTTTAATCTGAAATCCCGAGGCTTCTCGCACGTTTTGGAATTTCTACGAAAATACAATGAAATTAACAAACTCGAAATAAAACTCCGATAACAGAGGAGCGTCCGTTATCGAGCAGATAGTTTTGCGGAAAACGGCGCAAGGGCGACGCACGAGAACGAGAGAATCAGAAGGAAAGAGGAAGATAACAGCTCGCGACCTGCTCTCGAATCAGCTTCCAGGGCTGCGCGCGGCAGGGCTCGCAGCTTCCACCTCTGTCCTATTCTCTCTCTCTCTCTTTCTCGGCCGCTGGACCCCGTGCCTCATCTCTCATCCCGACCCCCGCCACTCTCTCTCCCGTTTCCGACGTTCAGTCGCACCCTTGCCTCGCGCACGGCGCGCACTCCGCACGCCTTCGCACGTCGACACGCGCCGGAAACCCGGCAAAGGGAGAGACCGTACGCCCGCAACCACCGACGGACGGCAGCCAGCGAGGAAGAAGGCTCCGCGATAAGTGATAAGTGATATACGAAGCTCGTGAGAGATCAAGAATGAGGCTCCTCCTGGCAGTCGCCCTGGGTTTCCTCCTTCAGGCGTGGGTCGTGTCCTGTGGGGTACGTGACAAAACGGGGCGGTGGCGGAGCTGATCGAGATACACATAGGCGAACCTGGGGCGCTCCAACGGAGGGTTGTGCCTCCCTCGGAAACGGAATTGAAAATATACATTCGACGGAAAAGTTGATTTCATTTTTCTTCTATAATTCTTCCAAAATAAAACGCTCGACTGGGTCCCTCGAAGCTTAAACGAAACTCGGCTACGAGTGAACAGCGACTCGAGCAACGGGAGAGTTGTTTTTCGCGATTCTGGCCGACCGGGGATGAGCTGCGCGTTCAATAACGCGCGCGACGCCTTCGTTCGCACGCGATGTTTGCCCCACGATCGCGATCTGCGATCGATTCTTCATTCGAAAGTCAAACAGGAAAATGAAAATTCTCTGTGCGGAATGAAAACGGGGTTTAAATCAAGATAACGGCCCGTATTCTGAATCCTCTTTTGTCGACAATAGCAATTCTAAAAGCGGCCTGTAGCCAATCAGAAGGCTTGTTGGCCACTTTTAACGATAAAAGAGGATTCAGAATGTGGGTCAAAATCTTGTTCCTTTTGTCTTCTCGCGGCGCGATACTACGAGTTATAGAAATGAGGAGAACGATATTGAAATCATTATATAAAAGCAATCGCGGAAAGTTGGAAGAATAACGAAATCGCGACAATGTTTCTTCGCGAAGTTGCCGTAGATAAAAAAAAAGTATACCATAGCCCGCCTACACGGAGAGCACTCGTCTCTCGCCCATCTCGACTATTGTCTATTAGTCTCAATCATCTATTTTGCAGACGAGACCCAGCTTTGTTTCCGATCAGATGATCGCGACCGCAGCGAGTGTCGTGAACGCCTGCCAAACGCAAACGGGAGTTGCCACAGGTATTATTGTTCAGCGAGAGAGTTCGTTCACCTCTGGCGTGAATGAAGCTATCGATCGTACTTTTTAATTACGCATAAAGTTACACTTTACAGCCGACACTCGCGAAATCAAGCTTCCCCGCTGCGAACCGAATTGATATCCCGAGGCGAAAATCTGCGTTATATCAAATGCTCCAAACCAAGGTTGGGAAGTAACTCGTTACTTGTAACTTACCAGTTACTGTTTTTTTTTTGGTAACTCTAACTTGACTTCGCTACTTTCTCTCCGTCTGTAACTGCAACTTAACTTAGTTACATTAATAGTTACTTTATATATCTTTTAATCCTCCACAGATCGCATTAGGCCTTGCATTTGCGCATAAACGCCTTTATCGACGCTTTACAATTCAAGTGCAGATTTGATATTTTTATCTTCACCGCAAGAAAGTAACTGCAAAGTAACGATTCGTTACTTTTTGAGTAACTATAACTAGTCACATTTTCAGCGAAAAAAACTATAACCAGACCTTTATAAAGTAACTTTCCCAACCTTGCTCAAAACGTAAGCGCAACATGTATACTTGTAGAATTTACATATATTAAAAAGGCCGGTGCTCCAAGAGCTGCTGTTTGAAGAAATATGACTTTGGAGCACGTTGATGATACCGTCTGACCGCGACTCGTGAGCTGATTATAATTTGATGCGTTGAGAATATGACGCACAGCATTCAGAAACGGAAAACAAGAAATAAATTGAGCGCATGTCGTATTTAATGACGACTTATACGACTTAGATTTTCGCCTCGGGTAGAACGATTTCCCAATCCCACGTCGGAAAGATTAGCGATATATATCCCATTAACGCTCGTTTCTACAGACTAATTTTGTTCTCAGCTTAAATTACCTCTTATCTTTTTCTAATTTTTAAAACGCGAAAAAGATGTAGAGCGAGATTAAAGTTAATCCGCGATGGTAGAAACGGGCGCGTAACGCGTTCGAATTATACCTAATTCAAGAGACACACCTGCGACACAAATTATTTTTAAAAGATATTAACAAATAGTGGATTAATATATACGTGGTACACGTCTTTTTCTAGCCGACATAGAAGCGGTAAGAAACGGTCAATGGCCGGAAACACGTCAATTGAAGGTGAGTACCGATGCGCGAGGCGCGTGAATTGCCACTTACGTCCGGCAAGAAAAAGAGAGCCCAAATAGCACAGGTGATCGTTGTCAACTCAAAAAGAATTTGCTCTTTTAAATTGGCGTAAAAATTAGTGCGCAATCTCTTCGAGACAAATCCAGGCACTATTTCTTTCCGATAGTTCACCAAGGATTCCATAAAGGTAGATCTTCTTTTTGTATCGGAAAACGAGCTCAACGTTGATATAAAAGCCGATTCCTTTTCAATTCCTAAGAATTCTTTTATAATAGAAACGAGGTGGAAAAAGAATTCATTTCATAATTCGAGAATTCGGAAGCAACTCCTTTTGGATCTTCTGTGCTATCTGAGACTCGTTATCCCAGAAATCATCGAAATACAGAGACGCTTGGGCGTTAAAGGCCGATACGATTTCTCGCAGTGTTATATGTATTGCCTCTGGGAACAATTCGGTCTGGTCGACGACAAGAGAGAGCTAAGTCTGAACGGGATGCTGACGTTCTTCCAGAGAATACCCGCCTACAGAGCCGAGGTCGAGAAAGCGATCAGCGAGTGCAAGGGGCTCGGTAACTATTTGGGTATCTACTGTCCTTTTTTCTTTTTCGTTTGTCCCGTCGATCGATTGCGTGTGTTCGAAATTCATTCGAAATCTGAAAGTGATCCTCTCAAAAGTGTTACTGAAATGTTATAGCTTCGAAATTGAGAGCATCCCAAGCTGATAGCTCAAGAAACAACTTTTAACGACATGATCACAATTAGATTGATAATCATTAAAAAGAGAGAGACATTGTATCTCTTGAATTGTTATATTCACGGCATGGAATTAATGTAACGAGCCTCTTCGATACCGAAAGCTTCGAATCTGAATTTCTTTTACTCTCCTTTGAATTCTCTACCTACGTTGTCCCATTTTATTTTCGATTACACACGATCCTTCGTGTCACGTCGGGCAGAGGAATTAATGGCCAATCGTCTTTCCGTTCGCAGCGAAGGGTGATAATTGCGAGTACGCGTACACGTTCAACAAGTGTTACGCGGAGCTGTCTCCGAGGGTAAGTGATCCCGAATCTAAAAACGCACGCGCATTATTCCCATCTCACGCGCGACCGCATTGTCCGTTTCAGACTTACTATCTATTCTAACGCGCCGCGGGAGGACGACAGTGAGAAGACCAAGAACAAAATGCTCAAGATACAATTCCGCCGAATGTGTTGAGATGTTTTTACGTTTAAACCACTTTCCACTTTATCATGTAATTGCCGTATTGCGTAAACCGTATACGATGTGTCGATGAAATAAAGAGTTCAGCGATCTAATCGACATATCTTCCAGCTGCCCTTGCTCTTTTCTATCTCCGCTGCGCGACGCAAAACCGAACGTGTCGTACTTTTTCAAAGAAGCGCAAATTGCCTACGAGGCTTTCGTACAAATCACGACGCCGGAGCTTCTTCTTTTCTTCGTTTTTCAAAGAAGACGATTTGCATAAAGTGTCTTGATTGCCAGACGGGAATAAATTGATGGCGCTCTCGCGTGTGATAAGTTTGATATCGCAGATTGCGGCAGTAGAGCGGTCCAATTGCCGGTTGAGGTCACACTTGATGATCGAACGCAACGGATGAAGAGATCTACAACTATAACACACTTGAAGCGCTCATTCGCAAACGAGTCCTTTGTGACGATCCGAGCAGAAATAGCGCCGCGGCTCGTGCGCGTGCCGCAAGTGAAAGAGCATTACGATATAAAGCAACGCTTAGCTTTCCGATGAACGTGAATAGGACAACGGCGCTGTCATCGTGATCATTACATCTAGATTAGATTTATATTTTGGGGAAGACAAACGAGAATTAATTCTACGATTTAGTAGCCTTTGTCCGATAGCAACAACATAAATCTCGCGTAAGCTGATTTAGCCGTGCTAGGCCGGTTGCATCTCATGACGCGAAGTTACACAACGCTGCAGGATTACCGCGGCTTATAATTAAAAGACTAAAACATTTCATTTGTCAGCCGGCATACATTATTATAGTGCTCGTTCCGCGTCTAGGTGTAATTTTCAAAATACCGCAATTACAGAAACGCGGAAGAGATTATCGTGCGCTCGTTAATTACTTAGGAAACTGCCGGGATACAATATGATCCCCAGGTTACTATTATACATCTGTTTACCGTCACATCCCCCGTTTACAGCTGCGCACGCGTTACACAAAGCTTCGCATTGCTAAAATCTTTTCCCGATATTTTAAATAATTTCCCTACTCGAGCTTGCGTCTCCTTCGGATTTTCCTTGCGCAGCGCCCACACGATATCGTTTCCGCCCGAGATTTATTTTACTAATTATTTTATATGTCACACTGCGGAAGCTCAGGGGGTCAATTCTGTATCTTACACCACATAGTGAAAATGCTAAAAGTGAATAGCTTTGTCTCTTTCTAATCGTCCCCTTAAAAACGAGACAAAGCACTTTCACTATATTGTAAGATACAGAATTGATCTCCAGATCTACAAGTAAAAATTAATTCGTAGTGCTTTCTGGAAAGTATTTTGGAAAATACGCGCGATAACAATTCGTGAAATTCGCGCTCCGAATCTTATATCTAGTTAATCTTCCGAGTATTCGACGCAATAAATATTCGTGTAATTCGCTGATAACTGATTTTCGTCTTTGTCAGCTGATTATTAATCGTCTCCCACTTCGTCCCCAGGACTCGCATAAATTCCGGGTGATTCAGCGCGACCGCGCACTTAGTAATCCTAGATGGACGAATAAACGTTTTTTTCTCAGTTAAATCGGTGTCGATTCCGCGTATGAACTATACGAGAATGGCGAGAGAAGGCTTAATTTGCATCTGCGCCTCTCTGGTCCTCACGCAGCTCCTCGTCGTGAGCGCCGCCGATCCAAAAACGGAAGTGAGTACGAATATGAGTTTAGGTCCACGGGATCTCTCTATGATCGTCGTATATAATTTTATAGGACATAGATTGGACCACTGTTCACGACGAGTTAAGGAAATTGGCTGCAACTCTGCGGAAGAAGTGTATCGGTGAAACTGGCGCGACAATCGGTACGTTCTCTAAAGTGTCGCGTTAAATTAACGGCGTTAAAAGGTTGATCAATAAGAGAAACGGAAGCCCGCCGAATCCTTTTGACACTTGCCAAAAATATACTTTGCACAATCTTCCTATTCTTATCACTACTGTTTTTAATCACCTAATGTATGCGACTTTGACCGCAGAGATGCTAGAAGGGGCAGAAATAGGCGACTTTTCTAGCGATTCATTGCCGTGTTACTTCAAGTGCGTGATGGAGAAAGGCGGCGTGGTAAAAACCCTTTTTTTTTTAAACAAAATATAACCGCAATAACGATCTAAACCGAATCGTTGAAACTCCATTTTCTTTTCTTTTTGATTAGATGAAGAAAGACGGCAAAATTAACTTCAAGGTGTTGTCCAAGTTGATGCCGCAAGCATACAGGCACATTGGAATGGAAATGCTCGATCAGTGTCGTAGTATCGGCAAGTATTTCAGTTTGTTGAGATAACAATACACGATGTGACGCAAATTACATTGCACCGTCTAATGATAAAAATAGAAAGAATAGAAAAGTTACCACTTGCAACGACTTATTCTATCACTGATAAAGCTGCATTACAAATAATAGTCGTCGCTAAATTGATTACACAATTAATGTTTTACGTTTTATGTAATTGCCTGCGATTCTTTCAGAGGGTAGCGACAAATGTAACAAGGCCTTGAACTTCAACAAATGCATGTACACAGCAAATCCTGTGGTACGTATATGATTAATATAATGATTCTAATTGATACCATGATTTTAATGCGTCACGCTACATGTCGTATTTCTTTCCAGGCGTACTTCGTTATCTAAACGTAGAGTAGGTGTAAGTGCGAGTAAGATCCCTAAGTATTGCCTGTAAAATTTGACATAAAATTGAAAATAAAATGCCTAATAAGTGTCCTCTGTTTCTCGTTCTTACGCTAAAGCTACAGAATTAAGTGAGACGTATCCTCGAAAGAATACAATTGCATATATTACTTGCGAGAATGTTTGTAACAACAATTCCATGAATATGACAACAGCAATTTTTGTATGTACATTGTATGTTACATAACTTAACGGTTATATCACGATTTACATATCGGGTGCAGTCGGCGCAGCGCATGTATCTACGCATCTCGCGTGTCTGCACGCCTTATGTTACTAATACGCTGATAAATGTTTCTTGATATACATACAAACGATTCATGTACGTTATATACATTTCTGACACGTAATTCCTCCGTTGATATTGTTCGTATAAATATTAATAAATCTACATACACGCCAAGTGTACTGCGACAGTCTCTCGTTGTGACAGATATTGCGGGCAAAGTAGAAATAATCAGACGTATAAAACAATGATGCAAGTCTCAAGAGCTTCGCATCTTCGACAATCTCCTGAGATCATTACAAATGAGTCTCACTGTATAAATGATGAGCGATACGGCTAATGCAATAACAATATGGTCTACGCTTTTCGCGGCTTCGTCTTCCTTTTGTTAATATTCATTATTTGCTCGACTATGATATCGTCCGCTCGGGGATCGATGGGAATGGCCTGGACGGGCGCTCTGGAGCTCGGCACGGGCTTGGAACGTCTCTCCAGTAGCGCGTTCAGCCAGACCCACAGCTTCTCGCGATTGAGGAACGCCAGCGCGACCAGCATGATGAACGGCAGCGCGATCACCGATGTCTGACTCATCTCGCCCTGGTCGACCTTCCGCTCCGCGTTGAACGCCAGTTTGACGTATTTGAACGACGAGTTCGCCTCGAAGTAGACCGGAATAGTGCGGTACTTGTGCACTGCCTGGGACAGCGACGACTCCAACTGGACGAAGTACTTCCTGCCGTCGGCTTGCAACGGCGGGAAATGCACCAGAAAGCCTGCGTTGTAGGTGCCGGCGTTTTTACCGGTGGACTGCTGCACGTCCAGCTTGGAAACGTGCACCGGCGAGTCCGGAGCGTCCTCTCGACACAGCTTCACCTTGATCGTGCGGTAGTGCTCCGGTTGGGCGGACGTGACGTGCACCGAGACGTCCGTGCGCGAGATCGGATGGAAGGCGATCACCCGCAGCCCACGGATGTCCTTCACCGGCTGCACCAGCTGAGAGCTGGGACTCGTGCGCTGTATATGGGCGTTGCTCTCCACGTTCGGCTTCAGACGGAAGGCGTAGATGCACTGTAAAATTAATAAATCGAACAGTCGAGATCATCTTGTATATTTTTTCTGCCCGGAATACAACTACTCACTGTAGGTTGAAGACCGCGAATCCTAAAGTTACCGTTCTCCTCAGTCGTAGCCTCCTCTTGAAGACTGGAGCAGTTCCCTTGGCCCTGAACCTCGACCAGCAGACCAACCTCCGGTTCGCCGTTCAAGGATGTAACAGAACCGTAAGCGCTGTAGGCAACTCTGTTGCCGAATAGACTCACACTGACGGTCGCTCCTTCCATGACATTTATCATTTTTGACGGCGGATCGAAGCGGTATTCCTTCATCATGGGTCGTAGATAATATTCGCCCGGTGACAGCGAATTAAATACGAATTTCCCGTCTTCGCCGGTTATGCTGTTTTTGCGGTAACTTTGACCACCAGACAAAGAAAGGAGTACACCCTGTAAAATAACAACGATGCTATCTTTCGTCTTCTTTTTTTGCTTTTATGTCGATGTCTCATCGATCAAATCACCTGCAACGAAGAAGCATCAGCGTGATCAGAAACTTGCACAATAATCTCGGCCAATTTGTGCGCCAAGAACACTCCTTTAGCATCAGGTCCAGTGATTACAAAGCCCTCCTTCTCGGCTGTAACACTAATAGACAAGTATTAGTTTCACGCGATAATTAATTGCTATAATGAAAAGAATGACCGCCAGTACCTACCGATATTCGATTTTTCCATCCAAAGGTCCAATGCTGTAAGTCCCGTCTTTTTGTGTAACTAGCGTGTGAATCGGAGACTCTTCGTCTTTCCCAGTTATCCGTACAGTTACACCTTCCAACGGCGGAGAGATCTGTCCAGCTATAATCTGAATAATATTTTCATTTTACTGATAATTTTATACCTTTAATACAGTAACATATATAGTTACTCTACCTTTCCTAAATCGCCGGCAAAGCTTGCGATGTCGTTGTGACAGTCATTTACGCCAAAGACTTTCAGAGACGGCGGATTGAAGAGCAGAATGTCCGATAACGGGGTGATAGTGTACATATTGTCCGTTTTCGCTTTAAACTCGAACTCGTATTTGTACACGCCATCTTTCTTTACGGGCTTCAGCGGACCAATCCTATTGGGAAATATATTAATGGCGAAAGGTGTACATAAGCATTTTTATACGTCCCAAAGAAATTCATCGAGACGTTAGTATTATTCAGATATAAATGGAAATATGTACAAAATTGTTCTCAATTTTTCAAACGTGTAACTTACGTGACGCTGTCATTCGCGTCCTCGATTTTTACTTTGAGATCGTTTTGCACGTTTACGCTTATAATACTGCCTTTGTGAGTGTGTTCGGTGGAATGCAGCAGGATCGGGGAGAGATTGCTCGTGTCCCAAGTATAGGAGGAATTTTCGTATACGTGGCAACCCCTGGGAACAAAAGTGTAGGCGCCAGATTTCGGCACGCAGTGCCTCATGCTGCCTTTGTTCAAAGGTAGAGTTATTAGCTTCGTGCTATTGGGCTCGAAGTACTCCACGGTCGTGTCGTGGGACGATATAAAAGTAATGGAGAAGCCGGTTTGCTTGAACGGCGGCACCTCGGCGCGCTCCGACGTTATCGAGATCCTGTAACTGGGATTTTCCCAGCAGAACACGTCGTTGTCGATGAAGATCTCGTAGTGACCAGGTAGCACGTCCGTGAACTGGTACTGACCATCTACGTAATGGAAAACGACTTCACAGACAGGGACGCTAGTATCGTATCGAATTAAATAAGCATTACTGCAATAACAAATAGGGGTACTTCACGTTAGTTGCTTGAAATCAAGTTAACTTTCAAGCTCACTGCAAATGCAAGATCGGAGGGATCGCTTTTATTTTACCACATTTGTTATTGCAGCTCAAGTTACAACATTGAAAAGATTGAATTAACGTTGATTAGCATTTCTGCCAGCACACCTTTAGCTTGTACCGTCTTTATCGTGACTCCATCGAGTATTTTCAACGTAACGGAGGCATGGCTGCAATCCGTTCCTTGCAAACAGTGTACTGTCCCCGTTAACGTGGCCTTCAATTGTAAGAAATTGACATTGGTAATTGGTTGAGACGACACGTCAATTGTTTGCTGCAGCGGGTAAAATCTAGAAATATAATAAAGCTTACAATCCGTAACTTTGTACACGTACGCCGAGAGAATTTGTTTTTAAATTTATCCGGATAATTATGTAATGGTGAGACAACGCGGCATTTCGAAGAATTTTATGAGAGAAAGAATTTCAAGTTCTCCAAAATACCATATTGTCCCACAATCACATGATTTTCCGGATAAATTTTAAGAGAAAATTCTCTCCGTGTATAATTTCGCGAACGTTTTTATACATTCCGATCTTAATTCGTTACTTACTGTAAACCCTTAGTTTTCTCTTCCGTGCTCACAACAACACTCAATTGATATTTATCCGGTGCGAGGTATACAGAGTACTCTCCCGTCTTCTCGTTGGTGTCGAGCTCCTTATAGAACGTAGCGGCGGTGTTCTGAATGGATATTCGGCGAAAATGCAGCGTCCCCTTCGCCGACAGGGTTACTTTTCCCGAGACTTTATACGCCGAAGGTACCAGCACCGGAAGTTCAGGCGAGGTGGGAGATATTTTAACTGTCTTCTCGCTAAATTGTACATTCGCTGGAACGAATAATTTGTTGGTACAAATGATTCCTGAATACACATTCAACTTGCAAGAGATTTCATAAATTTCACATACTAGACTCCGCTCTGAGCGTATATTGGCCGGCTTTCATGTTATCCAGTACGTATTTTCCATTCTTATCCGTGACCGCGACCTCTTTCTGCGACAGGAATATCTTCGCCCCTGGCAAAGGATTTCCATTCACGGAGCTACGCACAAGGCCGCCGACCGTGAAGCCAGTTACTTTGAAGTCTTGAGCGAGGACCACGCTGTTGTGGCCAACTTTGAACGATAATTCCGGCGGTTGAACATCGAACTTCGTCTGGGTACCGGCGTAGTGTGGTACGAGCTTATAATCGCCCGGCGACAGACTGGGGAATACAAATCTACCGGTATTGTCCGAGGTCACGTGGCAAAGCGGCTTCTTGGATTCAAAGTTCTTATCCACTGGAGTAGTCTCGCACTTCTCGGCGATACCATTCTGCAAGACGCACAAAAGTGCATGTAATTCTCACAAGAGGACACTTTAGAACTTGGAAATATTAATCTAAAATAAACTGGCAACAAGGGAATAATTAAGTAAATCGTACGCCGAAAAGGATGAAGGATACACCGGCCACCGGTTCATTCTCGCTGGTAACTTTGCCACCGACATCGTATCCCGATACTATCAAGCTGCCATCCGCGAGTTCTGTGTTTCCCTCTCGGACAATTACTTCGATTTCGTTTTCCTTTAATAACCACCTATAAAAGAGAGTGTCGTTAGTATCTTGTACCTTTTGTGTCTTAAAGATGTATCGGATAGATGTACAATCAATACTATCATGAACCATCGATCATGACGAATTATTTCCAATTGTTTTACTTGCATTTAAAAGTTGTCCATTACTCACTATTGCTATTTTAACATAGAGTCTTACGGGAACTTTCGAAAGAACGAATAATAGATTATTCGAAAACCTCTCGAAAACCAATGTTAAAAATTTGACTGCTCGTTTTGCAATTGTTATTCAGAAACCTCTATGGATTATCGGTATTGACGCGATATCGACACGACCTTTTAAGTTTTATAGTTTCAAAAGCAAATGCTATTCCAAATGAACGATACTTTAAGCTACAACTTTGCAAATTTCTTACAATTACATGTAGATTCGAATTCGTGTTCTGTCCAATTCTAATTTCCTGACCTGATTGAGGATCCAATGCATCCTTGAAATAAATTTATCAGCTATCAGGCTGTATACTTACTTGGGATGCTGTGCAACGAGGGTGTACTTTCCAGGCTGAATAGGAGTAAAGTAAAATATGCCGCCTTCCGCTGTTAACGTCGATTTAATGGCGACCTGTTTATTACTCTCTGCGTACAAGGAGACGGTAACTCCTTTAGGGCCGGAATCAGCACCTAAGCTAACCACCTGAAAATAACTTATATTAATTCAATAACTTTTGCACGCATTGAAAATTAGTGTCGGACTACGAAATTAAGTACTGCACAAAATTAGCCTTAGATTATCAGTACTAAAAATTGTAATACTCTTCAGCAAAAGTATTTCCATGTAACACAGAGAGACTTTTTTCACTCACGCGTCCTGTAATACCGAATCCCTTGAACGTAAAGTTAATATCCTTTCCCTGGCTGCAGTCGTCCGCGACACCATCTACGTTCAACGTTACTTCTGTAGGCTCGAAGCTCCAGCCTCTAGGTGGATCTACCTGATATATTAAAACGAAGAACCAAAATCATGTACACCAATGCCTACCAATGCCCAGTAGACATTAATTTATCTTATCTCGTTTCGTCCCATCTTATCTTTTTAATGTCCAAACTAATGTCCAAAAAAATGCCCAGTGATGCCCGGTGATGCCGCAAATCTGTACACCACGATGCCCCGAGCGGTTTATCCTTCGCGAGGAAACCGTTTCGTAGAATCTCTCGCGACTTGTAAAACTTTTCAACGGCGCCAACTATGGAAGCTGACGATTTTCCAAATTCCGACGACGGGCAACAATCTCTCAGCCCGTCGCCCAAAGCGAAAGGGAGAAAAAATTTTTGGAAACAGGCCTACGCGATCGTGCGACACGAAAATAACAAGTTCGCCGTGCACCGAGCGTCGCACATAATTTGATTAGCGACAATGATGGTGCATCTTTTCCAGCTTACCCTCAACACGTACTCGCCCTTGTCGTACAGAGGCAGGAAGTAGTAGCCGGTGTTGGGCGCGCACTCGGTCTGGTCCTTCAAGCTGCCGGTCTTCGTGTACCTGGCGAGTTTATCTCATGAAATCGCAGGCGAAACGAGCGGCGGCGTCGCGCAGCCGTCTGGTAACCTCTCGCCGAGGCGGATACTCACAGTCTCACGTGCACCTTCGTGAAGTCGATGTCGGCGTGGCTCTTCACGAAGCCGCCGCATCCCAGGATGTCCTGGGCGTGCGCGGCGTCCGCGACGAGGGCCGCCAGACAGCCGAGGAAAACGAGGCACCGCCGAGTCGGATTCATGCCGCTATGCCACCACCGCTTGTCTTGCTTGTCGGCCGCCAACCTGCACTTAACGAGACATTCACACCGCTCGATTATGCAAGAGGAGACTCTGGATACGAACTCACTTATTGGACGTCGGACGCGGTATAAGAATCTTCAAGCCCTGCGCACAATAAAGAAAATGTTAGGAATAAATATTTAATATCGAGCAATGCCGTTGGAGAGTCTCTTGCTCACCGTTCTCGTTCGAGTTTCGCAGTATCGTGTATTTTGGTCCGTAGAACGCGAACGTGGAGGTTCAACTCGTCGCTCTGTACCAGCAGAAAAGTTACAAAGCGTTAAACTGTGACAGCGCGTCGAGGTTAGAATATCTGTCGTACCGACGGTGCGTTCTGTTTTACCTGGCTGCACTAGTTCAGACCAGAGAGGTTAGGGTAGAGATTGGCGAGAGCAGGTTCAGCTAGAAGGAACAGACCGGGGCTCGTGCCGTCCGCGGCGAAGTCGCGACGCGCCTGTGCGCACGATTCAACTTCGCCTTGTCCAGGGCGAGCGGGACGAAGTTTGTGTGGAGTGCGCATTTATTTTCATTTCACAGAGCGGTGACGTTTAACTTCTCTCACGACTGCTCCTCGTCAATACATGTTCACACTCCAATGTAATAGAATGCATCGCGTGAAGGCGGGTGTCGACGCACGTCGAGACTCGGTTCAGTCGCTCGTTGAGAACTGATCAGGTTTGTTTACCTTACAGACCCGCTGCTGATCGGATAATCGCCGAGGTGATCAGCCGTTCGCTGCCGTCGTTCCAAGTCGTGAAACTGTCATCCGTACGGGGACTCGTCCGTGAACTTGTGCTCGAGCCCACTTGAGCCCGGCGTTTTAATCTCGCGCGACGTCGGATATCTCGTAGGTGAGAGGATCGATCCGGTTGTCAATTTCTGTATCTTACGCTGTGGTGAAAATGCCGAAAGTGAGTGGCTTGTCTCTTTCTAACTGTCCCCTTAGAGGGGACAAAGCCGCTCACTTTTAGCATCTTCACTTATGTTGCAGACTCCCAGAGGGTCACTTCTGTATCTTACACTACAGTGAAAGTAAGTAGCTTTGTCTCTTTCTAACTGTCCCCTTAGAAGAGACAGAGCCACTCACTTTTAGCATTTTCACTATATTGTAAAACAGGGGGGGTCAATTCTGTATCTTACGCCATAGTGAAAATGCTAAAAGTGAATGGCTTTGTCTCCTAACCGTCCCCTTCGAAAGAGACAAAGCCGCTCAGTTTCAGCATCTTCACTGTATTGTAGGATACAGAATTGACCCCTGGAATCGACCCTCTGAGGCGCAAGTATTTTTCTATCACGCGCGCTATTGATTAATCAACTCGCAGGAGAGGACGCCGCGAGCGAGGATGGTGAAAATGGCGCTGCAGATCACGTGCCGGCTCGACAACGTCGAGGAGCTGAGGCCGTGCGAGTCCGGTTTCAGGTGGTGTCTCAAGTTCAATTGCGGCAACTGCGGCGAGTCGTCAGACAAGTGGAACTGTCCCTGCGCGGACGAGCCGATACCGGCGCAACGGGGCAGCGGGGTAAATCACTTCGTGTGCAAGTGCAAGCTCTGCTCCCGCGAGAACTCCATGGCGATAATTGAGGACTCGGTCCAGCCCTTCACGGCGCGGGACCAGGGTGAGTTCAAGACAATCGTCGTGTTCGACTGCCGGGGCTTAGAGCCGTCCGACTTCGCCGCGAGAGAAGGCTGGACAGTCGAGGCCGCGAACGGTGGCACCGAGTTCAACAATGTGGACCTGACGGAGGGCGAGTGGGAGGACTACTGCGACAAAATCAAGGAACCTATTGGGATATACGACATTCAGCATAGATTCAAGAGAATCAAGTGAGATCGTACCCTGCCGGACGGGCGTTTCAATTTCAGTTGTACGATGGATCGGTTTCCCTGGTTAATGAAACGAGGCGACACATGCTTGTTATGTATAAATGTGTAAAGATTTGCATTAGTCTTCATACCTCTTTTGCTTCTTCTCTCTCTCTCTCTCTCTTTCTCTCTGCACAGATAGTTAATATATAAAATATCTTAAAATTATGAGATTGCCAAATCTCTAATGTAGATTTCATTGGATTGAGGAGATGAAAGTTCATCTTTCACGTAGAATTCTGTGACTTTTGTTGGCCTCTGTTGTTTGCGCCTGTAATTGGTGAACAAGTTGTCTGATGCCCGTTTCAATCGATGCGGATTAACTTGCTCTGGATCTCTTTCTAGTTTTACAAATTAGAAAAAGATAAAAAGTAATTTAAAATTAATCTGCATTGGTAGAAACGGACATCAGAGGAGATAATTTAATTCAGATTTCATTTGTCACACGACGAATAATAATTCTGTTACGCCGGTGAGTTATCCGACACGTTTGCGCAAACATACAACAGCTTGCAATAGAAAGGATCGCTTTGTAATAAATATACAATCTTTTGTAATAACTTGGCGTCTCCTCTACAAAATCCTCGAGCAACGGGGCACAATATTCTCCCGCGGGCGGAAAAAATATCCCCGATCCTCCTTCGTCAAGGCAAAGAGTAAAAGCAGTACCAGTCCAACGACATAATATAATTTATTCATAATCATATAAAAAAACCATTTTATTTCATAAATGGCTTAGTACACAAGAGATGTCGTTTGCAACAATAATTCCACTTTGCCTCCAAGCACGTTCGGTGTTGCCGATCCATACCCTGCGTAAATAATCGAGTGACTAGTGTCGCTTTGCGGCAAGGGCGATGCTCTCGAAACCGTGCGGCTCACCGATTCGATCCGGACAACCGTGCCTCTCTTCTCGTCGCCAAACGCAAACTGTATTCCTGGAATGTCGACGCGACCGCGTAAAAAAATCATCGAACTTATGACAACGACGCACTAATCCCTCTTACGATTATAAAAAATTAAAATGTTCCTCGGTTAAAAAATTATGTTATATACAGTGTCTTCTTTTTTTTTTCACGTATAAAACTCTCGAACAACGTCCCACTTGACGATACTCGGCGTATCGCGCAAAGACTTTCGATTAGACTCGCTCGCAGTCTGTCTCCACGATAAGCTACAAACGGAAAGTTACCATGTTCGAAAGGTAGATCCCATAGAGGCGATGCTTGACGACAAGAAATCACAAAACGCGATTCGAAACGAAGAGAGGAAGAAACAATGTGACTTCGTTTACTTGACGATTGCCTAATGCACTAACGCTACGCTATATTTGTCTAATGCTTTTCGTTTACTATGTTTCCTAGTATCTAACACAAATAAATATATCGCGTGCGTATTACAATCCGCCGTTCTCGGTCGAATCTTTAACGTATTGAATCACATGTAAGTAACCGCTAAAAATTTTTAATCTAACAATCGATAACGCTATCAGTCTATTCTCACAAAAATATCACTATGACCGAACATACCGTGTCGACGATACAACCAGAGTCCGAAATCACGAAATCGATCGAAATTAAATTAATAATGCAAACCCCCGAAATATTCTCGAAACTAACGCGTTTTCCGATTAGAAATATCAAACTACGGTGTCTTTTCAAGTCGCTTAAAACTCGGGAACAATACGAAAACCGCATAAATTTTTTGCGAATGCTGGAATGAAATGCTTGACTCTGGCCCGCGTGGAAGATTTGTAATCCGCTCGACGTAACTCGAACAATTATCCTACTAGCAAATCGAGGTTTCTAAAAACGCTTTAACCATGATCCTCTAATATTACGAATATGCACCGCTGTGCGCTTTTTGATCGGTTAAACGGCTCTAGTCTACTGTCTAGCTAAGCTATCGTCTTTGGTATACTAATCTGGGAGGGGGGGGGGGTGTGTGCTTACTTTATCCAGAAACAGAGGTGATTGTTCACGGGGATACGAGTATCGCATGAAAATAGGAACATTACGAGTAATACGTGTAAGCTAGCTGATTATGGCGTTCCCATTATGTCTCACGGCGAGAAACGATTATCGGTAAGTCCTCGTCCTCCGCGTGAAAAAATAAGCGACGTTTGCAGGCGAAGAATCTGAACGCGAACGAGGAGCGAATTATAGCCGTCCCCACTGCGCGTGGAGAAGCCCCCGTTTTACAATCGCCTCTTGGATCGCGTCCAATTCAGCTCGGAGTGGAAAAGGTGCGCATGCTGTAAACATCGTATTCTGCAACAGATCAAGTTGGAAGAATCGAGAGTGCTGGAGAAGGAAAGCCTTGGGACTCGCATCTTCGTCCGATGTTAAACCTTTTCATCTCTGTGTTCTGCGTTATTCACACGTATTCTCGTCTCGCTTTGATGAGAACGCGCATCGACGACTTGTCCGCTTAATCTACTCAACCCTTTGAGCCTCAATTTTTACTTTTTACGAAGTACATATAAAAATTAGTTGTATCCATAGATGTGATTAGACATATATATATCTTGCTTAAGGAGCTTACACGTATAGGAGGTTTTATTTGTCTCGATTGGGGCTCGAACGGTCAATGAAACTTGTCTCGATGTCACTTGGTCAATCAGCGTTATCCTTCTCCGACTATCTCGATCGTGACTGGGCCGTATTCCTTGGGCACGTATCGTTTAATGTCTTTCTAATGTCTAAATCGATTATATACGTTTTGAATCGCCTATCCGCTACTGTATTCGGCTAAATCCGTGATTTCTCTAAATTCGTTAGATGAATACATGCTAAATATCTACGTCTTTTTGATACTGTTATATTACTCGTTTGCATGGCTTACTTTTGACGTCTCTTTCTACGATTTTTCCGCTATGTTTCTTCTAAAGTATATCAAAGACTGACACCCGTGAATAGGCCCGTTAGATGTTGAGTAGTATATAAGCTCAATCCTAGAAACGCTAACGGGGACTCCGCCAGGGCCCAGTACAATCTCAAACTAGTACGTACTATCCTTTCTCCGCGTTTCCTATTGCAAATTTCGTAATAACATACTAATGACTGATAATATATTTTGCATATACATGTTTGAAAAAATGTTAGGTATAGCAATGTTAATATATAGTGACATTAATTATTTTATTATTACAATTACTTAGTAATATATCGGTTATTGATGACTCCACGTTAGCGTTTCAGGATTAATCTAACGTAATTCGACGATCTGCAAGAATTTCTCGTCCGCCGTCATTTCGGGGAGAAACTTCGGAGCGAGCACCGCGACGATAGATCGAACGAGAAGAGTCTAGCTAGTCTATGAAAGGCTAATCTAATCTAAAGCGACAAATGAAAGTCGACCTACCCGCGCCAAGTTGCGAACTTAAAACGACGAAAGGAAAGTTCGTGAGAAGTGCTAATTATTGCGCGAAACAACAGAGCGGAACAATGCCCAGCGAGGATACGCGACACTCAATTTCGACTCTCCCTTCCTTTCTCTCACTCTTTCTCTCATATCACGTAGATGGACAGAAAAATAGAGATTTGACGTGCGCGCTCGCACTTAGTCGACCCTGGTACCATCGAGCCCGAGAAGGATCACGTCATCATAATTCGGTATTCAGCGCGCACGGAGTAAACGCCGCGCTTAATCAATACTCCTCGCAGCGCGCGGCGGCTCGACCAATCGCGGATTCGCCGAGAACAGGACCCGTAACTTCGATCCTGTCCGTCCGGCCGGCCGGCCTATTCCCCTCGCAAGAAACAGGGTGCTAGATGCGGTTAGTCGTGGCCGCGCGGCGCACAATAGACCGGAAACGAGTCGGCCGGTCGGATTCAAGGCAGCTCGTCGGTCAGCAGACTCGTCGGCTCCAGGCAGGTCTGCTTCAGAGTGGCCGACTGATCTTCGAGGCTGCGCTTCAGGCCCTCGATCGTCTGCATCAGCATCTGCCGTCGCAACTGGGATAGCTGGTGCTGGAAGTACTGCGAGTCCTGAATGTTGTTTATGTTCGCCTCGGCGGCCAGCCGCTCCTGCCGCAATTGCGCCACCTTCTCCTTCAGGGATCTCCTCGAGTCATCTGCGTGTACAAAATAATATTGACAGGCTGATATCGCGATAAGGACAATGCAACTTAAAAGTTGAATTTCAAAATGCAATATGGGCAAGGGACATTACATATTATTTTTACCAAACTATAAAATGAATTATCGGGAGATTAGATTATATGTACATAAAAATATTTTATATCCTTGCCGCTTGATATTATCAAGCCTGTCATCAAGAGATCTGTTGTGTGCAACTTACAAAAGAAGCAGATATAAAAGAAATACGTACCGGTATCGTCGGTTGCTGTATCGCCGTCGGAATTTCTCAGCATAACGTGCTCGCCCAATGTCTTTTGTATTCTACCATATGTTGCGCTTCCGGCGTATACTTTCCTTTTCACCGGCTCGCTTTGCGGGCAATAGGAAGAGCCCTCCTTGATGGGGCCCATGTCGACTGATCTAAAGATATTTTTCTCTTACTGGTATTCAACGATTCTACGTTCACTATCGACATTAATTAGAGTTAAGCCCGCTGCAGACGATGCTATTTTTCCTGCTGGATTGCTTGCGATTTAGTAAATTACTATCATTGCACCACTCAGCATTCAGGATTCCTAGTAATTTACTAAATTGCAAGCAATCCAGCAGGAAAAATAGCATCGTCTGCAGCGGGCTTTACTGTATACTGATAATTACCGTTAACATCGTATGCAAACTTTCTATGTAGATTAATTAAGACGCTTCTTCTGATAAAATATTATACGATATAAGTATAAATAAATCATTAGCGACATAACAAGGGAAAGAAAGCCATCTTTTCAGATCGACTCTTTAAGAAATAGCGAGAAGCTTTGAACATGAGGAGATCGATATTCTCAATTTTCCATTAAACTACGATCTAGAAATTATTCAAAGTTTCGTTATCAACCTGAAAGTCATCAACGGTGCCCTCCGTCTCACGTCGCACTTCTCCTCGGAATCCGACGAGCTGGACGTCACTCCCTCCTCCTTCGTCGATTCTCTCGCGGCGCGAAATTCCTTTCTACCTCCGGCGAGAGAGCTCTGCGTCATCGCGTTCGCGTGTATCTTCTCTCCGAGGGAATTGTTCGCATTCGTGGTTTCCGGTTTCATTCCGCCGTTACAATTCAAGGCGATCCGAGGCGATCTGTTGCCCTCCTTGCTCTCTGGATTGCCGTTGCGCGCTCGATGCACCTGGTGGTGCATCAGGCTCCTGCTGGGCGAGCTCTGGGGCGTCGTTCTGCGCGTCATCGCCGGCGAGTCCGGACACTTGGACAGCTCGTGCTGCCGGAAAACGGGCGGAGGCTCCTTCGGCGCAAAACCGGCCGGCGAGTTCCTCTCCATAAATCGGTGAATCGGCGAACACGGCTGGGCGAACTGCCGTTTCGGACTGGTGTGCTCCAGATCACGGATACTGCCGCTCTGCAATTCCGGTTGGGAATTGCGGCTCTTCGACAGCGCCAGCTCGATGTTCAGCTCCGTGTTCTTGATGAGTTCGACGCGCTTGTTCGCCAGACCGTTGTGCAGTTTACGCGACGGCGACGGCACACACGGCGAGGGGTTCTGGTACTTTTGCATGCTCACCAGAATGTTTTCTGCCTCTAGGATAAGCTCGCGATACTTGCGATCGGCCTCCTTGTCCGCCTCGATCAGCGCGATCTCCGACGCAAACGTGGTCATGTACGTGTTGCCGGCCACGTGGCGTCGCACCATGTTGCCATTCACGTAGCTCACCTTAAAAGGAAACAAAGCGATAATATAATTTAAGTTCTTGGACCGAACGGAACAACGGCGTCGATTAAATTAGAGCCTCACAGAGTTCGACCGTCTCTTCACGATCTCGTTCTCCATCGCGGTAGGTCTGATGGCCGACGGGTTGCCGTTCAATCTCATGGGCGAGAGATTCTTGTTGACGTCGTGCTTCCTGCGCCGCAAGCACATCGGCGTGCCGCCCACGCTCCTGCTGCCCTGATTGAATCCAGAATTCTTCAGTAGCATCCTCTCGACCAGCACGCGGTTCAGATTCGCCGTCTCGTCGTCGCATCGGTCCAGAGCGGGCTTGCGACGTTGCGATATCCTCTTCTTGCGTTTCTCGCTTTGCTTATCGTCCATCTTCCTGTGCCGCGAGCTCTGCCTTTTCGAGCTGGCCCTCGCATTCACGTTTCTAGCAATATAACAGAGACGAAGTAAATTATTGCTTGGCATATTAAAAAGAAAGACGTGAAACGCTAAAATAAGTCCACGACAGCTTGCTGAAAAAATTTCTCGGTGCTCACCTCTGAGAGACGATCTCGTCCTTGCTCCTGCGCTTGAGGAAGGACTCGCGGAGCCTGCTACCACGTCGGCTTAGCTCGCTGGTGAAGGTGAAGTAGGTGCAGTGACCGGTATTGGGAAAGTGGCCGGCGCTACCGCACTCGAGGCTGTCCAGATCGACGAACGAGCCGTTATCAATGTAATCGAGCTCGTCGTTTTCGAACGGATCGTTCTCGTCGCCGCCGTCCTGTCCGGTGTCGATGTCCGACAGCGAGTCGATATAGTCCTCGCAGTCGGTCGGATCGCTGTCCGACAGGATGTCCGTCTCTTTCTCGTATACGTAGCTCTCGTCGAACTTGCCCATCATCTCGTTCAGCGTGATGTCGTCCTCGGACGAGCGCACGCTGCGCGTCACCGAGGACGCCGACGAGCTGCTGCTACTGGCTCGTCGTTGCAGGGCCAAAGAGATCTTCGGTCGGAGATCCATGCCCGATGTGATCCTCCAGTTTTGATTGATCCTGCGCAAGACACGCCATTAAACAATCTTGATCCAAATTCGATCAACTATTTAGATATAAAAGTATCGATTGAAATTTCGTCTAAAGTATGTCAGACGAAAGGATATATATATATGATTATAAGTAATGTGTGCAAAAAATATATTTTATTTGGACCTTTATATCCCGCTCTTGATTTAGTTTAATCCTTCGCTAAAATCTCAATTTGGCTTTTTCCGTAAAGGCTCTAACGAAAGAAATGAATTTTGTATAAGTTGCCGCCAGTAAATTTCGCTTTAAATCTCGTTTTACTAGAACAAAATAATAATCATAAAGTATATGATTTGCCAGCCAATGCACACGTGCAACTCGTAGACCAACGATAATCGTATCGCAGAAAAATTACATCGAGCTGTAATATCATGTGTAATCGGCTCGTAATTGCGCATTAAGTATTAAACCTGGCGTAAGAGGCGAACGCTCGTTTTCGCACGGAGAAAAACACTTAGCTGCTGTAGCTAAAACTTGGTTAATATAGTGACAGCAAATTTTTTAGTTGTGATAGCTCAATATTTTGCTGTCGCACCTAATATATTAGGTGCGACAGCAAACGGTTTGCTGTCGTAGCAAAATATTGAGCTATCACAACTAAAAAATTTGCTGTCACTATATTAACCAAGTTTTAGCTACAGCAGCTAAGTGTTTTTCTCCGTGCGTAATTGCGGGTCGGCGGCCAATAAAGCGCAGTTTCGCGGATTTCTTTCTGTTTCGCAGAACTTTTCTAAGAATCGGCTTCTCCTTTAAGTCAACGGCCCTTGCTTCGGTCAATTCCAGACCGTGGACTGGTAAAGCCAGTGGATTTAGAGAAAAGGAAAACTCTTCTCGAAAACGGATACGCCGTTCGCCAGCAACTTGCGCAATTAGAAGTTTTTCCTGTGAGAAATTGGATAAGTTCCGAGAATGCAACGACACGGCTATACACAGAAGTACATGTCGGATACTTTTGTCTCAGAAATTTCTCGCTTCTGCATTTCATTTTTTCCATAGTCCGCCTTATCCGCTTTCAATTTTCATCCGTCTGCTCTCGATCAGACAATCCTCTAGTTCAATTAGACATTTAATTAATCAAGGCGCTCAATCTAGCGTACGTCATTTGATTAATTTTCTTTCAATGTAAGCTGCGGTCAAGCCGTGGCTTCAAACGTTTCGAAATATTCTACTTCTCTTTTCTTTCAGAAAAGTTAGACCGAGGGGAAAACCGCTGACCAAAATCTTGTACACCAATGCCCACTAATGCCCAATGGGCATTACTGTCTCTTATTATCTTATTTTATCTTATTTATCTTGTTTTATCTTATTTTATCTTTATAATGCCCCAGCAAGGCCTAATGCCCAAACTAATGTCTAAAAAATACCTAGTAATGCCTAGCAATGCCCAGTAATGCCGTAAATCTGTACACCACAATGCCCTCAGCGATTTACCCCTCGAGTTAGACGGAGAAGAGAAACACTTCGAAGCGTTTGTAGCGTCGGTCTGACCGCAATCATAGTCTATCGGTGGCACGTCGCTTTGTTAAGAAGGAAAAAAACGTTAAAAAATGCCACTCACGGGCTTCGGCCCGCGCTGAGGCTCTCCTGACGGTGCTCCCTCCTGCCATGAGGCTCCCTGCCGTTCAGGTTGACGTCGCTGGCGCTGCCGGAGGACTCCGTCAGCTTCAGCCCGGAGCTGCTGCTGCTCTCGTCTAGGGCGAGCCGCGACTTCAGGCCGTTTGTGCTGGACCCGGAGGAATTGGCCGACAGCCACGGGTTCGTCCGAATGCGGGAGCGCTCGCGGGGTGACTGCACCGGGGGCGAGACCAGCGGCGGCGGTATCGACGACGGCACCGGCAGACTGTTCCTCGTCGAGTCGGCGGAGTAAGACTCCGTTCTGCGATGCGAGCTCTCCTGCTGCCTCTGTTGCTGCTGGTGTTGCCTCTGGCCGTGGCTCATCGGCGTCTCCGCGCTCTGCCGAGTCAGAACAGAAATGTTAGACAATAATCAAGCTTTTCAGCCAACACTAACCGGCCAGTGTTTTAATACAGAAAATTTATTGCGAAAAACAGTACCTCGGCCAGGGTTTGAACCTGGACTTCCCTATTCTCTAGGCGGGCGTCTCACCAATTCGGCCACTGAGGCATGCGGTGGTATTTGTCGCAGTAAACAGTCTAAAGGCGGTACCTTTCGCGTCTATTTTCGACTTTAAAATAGGTAGGGTTGTCGGCAGTACACGCAGATATGTCGATACGCGATTTTTAAGTATCCCTGTCCCCTTCGAAATGTAGGTAGAAATGTAGACAACGGAAGGAGGGACGAGGTTTCTATACCCAAGTAGAGCAAGTTAATCGCAAAAACGTCAATGTGACATTAAAATGATGAATTTTACGTCATAAAATGATCGACATTAAGATTTACTTTGCAATGACTGATTTATGACATGCTGTTTTATGATATTCGTGACGTGTCGTCAATTTATTTTTAACGTATAATATTTAATTAATTTTGCTTTGTAAAACAAGATCATTTTTACAGCATTTTGATGTCTTAATGATGTCACAAATAGGTGCTCTCGGTGGGCTATTTTGACGTCACCATGACGCATAAAAAAATGATCAAAAAAATGATGCCATCTTGATGTTTTCGCGACTAATACGTTCTACTTGGGTATTTAATTAGTTTTATATTCGGACATCGATCGCGTTTAAATCTTTCATCTTGATCTGCGGTGACCAAAATGTTCCGCGACGCGGAAAGAGGCAGAAGATGGGTCAGATTATACGCTTAAAATTAGTCAACGTCGATAGAATTGGCGAACCGTCGTTTCATTTTAATGAGACACCGCACGTTTTACGGCGGCCGTTGGTCCGAAGAGCGAGACTAGTGGTAAAAGAAACACGTGTGCAGGCATCGAACTGTTGCATTTGAGATCAGAGAAGATCACCAGGACGTAAAGCGTTCGCAGCAAAATTTTCTCGGTTAAAGTGTGTTACGCAAATTCATTTATAATTAATTCATCACTGTGGACTGTATACAGGTAGAAGACTCTTCTGCCTTAAGAAATGCGCACGAAAATTAATTCGTTCATTCATTCGACCCTTCGAAACGAAGTCGCGCCTTTAACGCTCGCACTCTGTGTCCTCGTCAACCCTTATCGTCAACTCGAATCGCGAGAACCCGATCGCTCCTCTCCAATGTAGCGAAACGGAGTCGAGCGACGCGCAATCGATCACGGGTCTCGAGGAGGAAGGATTCATTTTTCACCCCTGCCACCCATTAACGCCCGATAGCCTCTCGCGACAATAATGCATTCCTCTCTCGAGTGAATCCCGAGGAGAAGCGACGGTTCCGGGCCTTTTCACCTCCGTGCTTCGGGCAGAAGCGCGACAATGCGCGGCTAATAAATATTTTTTTCACGCGACAAATAGCGGTACGTGCGCCGTAAAGGGAATGGATCATCGCGCCGCCGACTCTCGAGTGAGCTCAGCATCCGCGGGATTCACCGAGAGAAAGAGAGAAAGGGAGAGAGAGAGAGAGGGGGAGGAGGGGTCGGTAAATCCCTCTTCCCTCTTCACGGCTCTTTTTCTCCCGTGCTATTCTTTTCCCGTAATATGCCGCGACGATAAACGCTACTTCCAGAATGTATACTTCCTGCTCGGCGTAAAAGCCCGGGTGTCGTTGAACTCGCGGCCTCAAAGAACACGCGGCGAACGAACGCGCCTCCCCGCAAGACGTCGCGCCCGGGGGTGTGTTTCAGCGAAACGACGGTAATCTCTCGCGCGACGGACCCGAAGCGCGTACATTTACTTTCGGCCTATAAACTATTTGAGGGGCTGAATGGAATGCGACGCGTTTAACGGAAGGAGCCCTCCTCTGGTGAACACGTTATATCGAGGGATCTCGAAACCTCGCGACAGCGGACACGCTCCTGGCGTTTCTCCAATGAGATCCGAATCGAAATCTCGCCCCGAAAAAACTCTCGTGCAGTTTGCGAAAGTTCTCCATTTTTAATGATTCTGTGAGTCGACCTGCGTCCTCGAAACGGTCGTATTATCGTTAAAATTAATACCACGAGACGTTAAAGACGGAGCATGCTTAATACTCGAGTAAAATAATTATAAATAATTTGTAATGTAAAACGAGAGGAAAGGAGGAAAAGGAAAGAAAGAAGTGTATGCACGCGGAGAGAATTTTCTTGTACAATTTATCCTGAAAATCGTGTAATTGTGGGACAACGTGGCATTCTGAAGAATTTTATGAAGAATTTTTTCGAGTTTTACCATACTCTCTAAAAGTCAATCAGTGTACGGTAAAATTCGAAAAAATTCTTCGAAATGTGCTGTCCTACGATTAAGTACAGGATTTTCAGGATAAATTTTAAAAGTAAATTCTCTCCGTGTAGACTTTGCGAGTGGACTATAGACGTCACTCAAGATTAAGACTCGAAGATACGTTTTAGAATATATAAAATCAAAAGTATACCACTGAGAACAATTGCAGCCGGCTGGAAAAGCCATTTCTTCTCCAAATAGGAGAAGCTGCAATTATGTTCGTAACAATCAAGATGTAACTTTAATTAATTCTTTTTCACGCCACGTAGATAAATACGGGAGGAGAGTAGTCGAATTTACACGACACGAGTTTCCTCGTTAACGCCTTCCCCCGGGAGAGACCGCGCCTCTTCGGGCGCGAGAGCGTTGTCACCTTGTCCCGAAACTCCAGAACTCCCTGGACAACGGCACTTACCTTGTGCGGCGTACTCGTTCGCACTTCCGGCTGGCCGTGGTCTCTGGACATGTTCGTCGTGCTCGCGGATGACTGCCCCCTGTCCTCGGCTCTTCCATTTCCTGGTGGAACGCTGCCGGTCGGAGGCGGGTTACCTGCGCTGCCCAGTGGCCTCTTCGCCCTGGTCTTGTTGTTATTGTTGTTGTTGTTGTTGTTAGCGGCGGCAGTGGTGGCACCGCCACCGCCGCTGCTCTGAAAGTAATGGGTGCCGGTCCTGATGTTGATGTAGTACTCGGGCGGGAAACTGGTGCCGGGCGAGGTGCCGTCGGTCGAGTAGCCGGTCGAGTACGCGCTCTCCGGCGAGGAGAGGCTCACGCTTCCGGCGGTGCCGCCGGAGGTGCCGGACGAGGTGGTCACTGTCGCGCCGTAGCCGCCCCCGTGCAGCCGGATGCCGTCCACGTTCTTCGACGGCGAGTCCACCGGGTGTACCTGGCAAGAAGATCCAAAGTTCCTCTGAATCGTGCTCGCGACTTGCGTTCTGAATATCCTTCATTGACTCTTACTGTACATTGACCTGGCCAGTTCTCTTTTCGACACGACGAGGTAGAGAATATTTCAGCGCGTTGTAAATTGATAATGACAGTTATCGAAGATTATCTCCACGTTTCGCAGATCTTTGAATAATGTTCGTCGCATTTATCAAGTTGATAAAGAACAGATCGGATTATTCTCACTAAAGAAATGATCAAAGATGTGCGGAAGTGTCAATTTAAAAACAGATTTCAAAAAGCTGGGAGACAGAGCTTAGTTTTTAGAATTCATCGAAACCTTCAGACGGCTCGCAAAAGTCTCAAGAATGTTAATAATCATCGAAAGATACCCGGCGTGTTATAATAATCCGGAAGACACAGTAGAGAAGGAGAATTTGTGCGACGCAAAGGTTTATGAATTCAGTACGTTAATGTGAAGTTTCGATAAGGCAGTCGTCCGACGGCTGCACAAAGCCCGAGGACACTGCGGCAATCGGCGATGGATGGCGCGAGAGAATGCAGGGCGAGTCGCCTGACGGGGTGTGTCGGGAAAAGAACACTGAACCCTTTTTCTACCCGCCTTAACGATAAGCGTCGACGTGCCCTGGCAACTCCTTCCACGGAAAGCGCCGACCTAAGGGTCTGTTAGCGGAGAAACGGACGGGCGTAACGAGCAAACGCTGGCAAGCAGTAGGAAAATAGGGGAAGCACTTCGCAAACTAGTTTGCCGATAATGACGATGAATCCGACGAGCGCGCGCCTTCCGAGATACTTCAGAGCTGAGTGCCTCGCGCTGAGCGATCGCGAGCGAAAGCAATTAACGTTGGGCCCATATAAAATCTCGCGACGTATAATCGCGGCTGTCGAGAGGACGAAAGAAACAAAATGCCAAACTTCTGAACGTTGCGTTTGGAAGTGAATTTCGCTTGTAACCAAAAGCACGTAACTCAACACTGCTCGCCTCTGCGGCACTGACATAAATTGCAGAGTTTCCTCTAGACGTTCCGTCTCTTGGAGGAAAATTCCGTAAAATAAGACGTTCTTTCACGCAAAGGGAGAGTCACGTTGCGATAAGTGAGTGAGTTTCGTGTAAAGCTTGTTTCAAGATTTAAATGGCAAGATGAGAGATACGGGAGGCTCGTGTAGCATCAAAGATTTACTCGGCATCGTTTCGCAAGAACGACCGACAAATCGCGACGTGATTGCTCACCTGGTGCAAAGCGGGCGATCTGTTGGCGCTGTGGCTCCTCGGGGAGTTGCAGTTCGAGTCGAATCCCTTGTCGCCCTTCTTCCGGTCCTTCTTCTTTTTCGATCGCACGATGTGTGCCTCCATCCACGTGCGCAATTTCGTCCCGAACATGTTGCACACGAGTGTCGGCTAACGGAGCGGCGCCTCGTCGAAAATGCCCAAGTGGACAGAGGTCTCCTTCCCACGATTATCGTCCGCCGGAACCGGCTGCGATCGCGTTATTTGCGCGCGCGTCCACTGCTCGAGCGTTCCATTTCACGGTGAAACAGGACCTCTGCAACGAGAAGAGAAGAAACTCGCTCGTTCAATCTCGCCGTGAACCGCGATGCATCGGGGAGAAGGAGAGAGACTTGACGCGAGCGCGTAAAAATCGCCAGAAAATCCTGGGGTCGGCGGCTTTGTTGACTCCGCGCCGCGTCAAGAGCTAATACGAAACGTTAACGATTCTTTTATCAGATGCTCATCAGCACCGGTAAAAAAACACTTTCGCAGTCGGCGGTTCTAACGCGCGACCTGAAACCGAGAGCCGCGTGCGATTGTAAAAAATCTATAGGGCAAGGTAACCAAATGCGGATCACAAATTTGACGAGTCGCTAATGAGCGACATTTTAAAGTAATTCACTTAAATTCGGCTCTTTCATATATTTACAACTTTATGCTATACGAGTATTGTCGACATCGTAAAAGGCATCGGCGTGTTTTTATGTCGCTCATTAGCGACTCGTCAAATTTGTGATCCGCATTTGGCTTCTGATCCGAATTTGATCACCTTATCCCTAGCTCTGGCTGCCGCGAAATTCAGACAAAGTGAGAATAAAATTAAAAACAAGTTGCTTTATAATGTCATGCTTGCAAACACTCGTAAATACGTATCGTAAATTCGGCCTTCCTACAAGTGTAAAGTTACGTCAACGGCAACCAGCTACAAATTCTACAGTGGCGTAAAAATACGTCAGCGGCTGCGAGTGTGTTAATTGTGCGTCAATTTAATGAATGTAAAATTACATTTCCCACTTTGGTGTAAGAACTGCTCCAATTACTGAATGGTAATCCGCGCATGGTTCAGCAATGTAAAAGCAAAGTGTATAAAACTCATCAAAATTATTATTACATCTAGAAAAGATTTATTTACGCTAAATAAATGGGATACGTTGAAATCTTGTTTCTCTGAACTACATTTCTATTTGCTTCTACTAAAACGTTCGCTAGATTTGAAGAAACAGATATGAATTCTCTTACTCTCTAAAATTTTTGGAGCGAAAATACCGCCATGAAGTGAAATATTCTCTATTGGAGTAAGTGTTCACTCTAACAGGGTGAATATTTCACTCATTTCACCGTGGCAGTATTTTCATTCTGAAAACTTTAGAGAGTACACGGAGAGAATTTTCTTTCAAAATTTATCTTGAAAATCAAGTAAACGTGGGACAACATGGCATTTTGAAGAATTTTATGAGAGTTTTCTGAAATTTTACCATGCATTTTACTAATAAAATGTATACCAAGTATAATTACTAGAAAAAAGTATGGTAAAATTTCAAAAAACTAATAAAATCCTTCGAAATGCCGTATTAACCATCGATTTTCAGGATAAATTTTAAGAGAAAATTGTGTAGAGATTTCAGTCTTAATGAAAGAAAATTTTGGTTAAGGTAAAGAGTCGTTTCTGTGAAATTAAGTAAAAGTCTAAGGTTCAAATTCAAAGAAAATTTCTCTGATTCAAAGAAACTTTTCCTGGGCGTATGTCACGCTCAGTGACCGCAAATGTTAATATCTATTCTGCGTTATATCGCTCTTTATGCTTGTTAAAATA